AGCACGATTTTTAATTAATTTCGCATTTAATATGGATATTTAAATATAATTAATTTATTCTCATAATCCGGATAGATCAGTTTTAGAAGTTTGATGTGTACTTTTTTAAATTAAAATGTTTTATGTATTTTTTATAGCGTCTTATAAACTGATTTGAAACGTAGATGTAATAAGAACTACTTAATTTTTGTGATCTAATAAGTGAGAACAACTTTTTTATGTAAATTGTAGAATTACATCATAACCTAATTCATAGTGCTAAGGTGGTCAAATTGCATCTAAGAACCGATTTTGCGGAGTTAAAACCCTTTAGCTTTCATTGAACAGATATATAAAGATAAGTATATAAATGTTATACGTTTATACTATAAGAAATTTTATTAATATCTTGCAAATAATTAGAGCGCTCCGGAACCCAATGGATCCCGCTTTTCTAGTTATAAAAAAATGTAGATTTTTGTATTCTTTATTTAGGAACGAGTTTAAATGCATTGGATTGATGTACTAATGGTAAAGATATGACTTTAAATATATTTTAATTTCTCACAGCATTAACATCCAATTTATAGTGTTTACACCGAAATCTCGGTGTATGTATATATGTTGTGCTTGAAATTAGAATAGGTGTGGATTTAAAATTGAGTCACATCAGATTGAAATTTGAGTTGAAGATACGTAACATTAAAATAGATTTGCATAAAACTAATTCTTCAAATTTCTTAGGGCAAGTTTTAGGGTTAAAAACTGAAGTCGGTGCCTGATTTTCACCTGTGTTGAAGCTACTACAGCTTATATAATAACTGGTTTTGAATATGCCGAAATAGTTTTGGCCGCGTGTATATACTGTATGGTTATAACAAAAAATAGCAAATACTCTAATTGCTTTAATAATTTAATAAATCCCTTATTATTACATATACTTTTTCATTCACTCAAATGCCAAATTTTGCAACGATATTTGTTGATATTATAAACATACTAGTATTCTGCTTTAGCGTTGCTCCTTTGACTGTTAAAATATTATCTAATTTTTCAAATATTTAATCGATAACAAAGTGTAGAGAAGTACGCAGTATATATTGATGAAATAAAAGAACATTAAATTTTTCATAGTTTTTGTTCGATTGATGGTTTTCTTATTCGAGCCAAAATTTTGACATCTTGGCATGAAAGGCTTGAATATTTCAATAGCTGCTTAATTATGATTTTAATTATTATTACATTAATTATACACGTTGCGTAAATGATAATCTTGGTTTAGAATCGAATTTCATTTTATTTTAAATCCACGCTTCTTCGAATTTAATGCACGATATATTCATTATAAATCTGGTGTGTACGCGGTTACATGGATAGTCACTAAATACATAATATAAATAATGACCAATACTACTAAAGGTAAGATTAATATGGCAGTACAAATATGTATGGGGTCGGTTAAAGCCAGGTGTTTAGTATAAACTTGGAAATGACCTACATGCTGCATAAATTATATTCTTGATATATATATAAACCACTAACCATTACTGCATCTAAAAAAGTAATTCTAACGCGCCTTGTTTTAGCCATCCCCAAATTTGGAAGAAAAATGGTAACGTTAATGATGATACAAATTTGGAAGTGAGAACATGAATAAAGTTATCAGTTACAATAGTTATTTCAGAAATGTGTATACTGCATCCGTAAATTTATAGATAATTAGATCAATTTATTTTGTTACTTTCATTAAGTGATGTAATAATTGACTTCGAAAGAGTTTGTAGTACACATGTACTAACTTTAACAACGCATGAAGCCAAAAAAATATAAGCAAGAAACCAGATATGAGAAATCTTATAAATGAGAATAAGTTTCTAAAGTTTTTTTTTTTTTTAATTTGTATCATACTATACTTCATTGATGTAACAGCACGACCCCTAAAAATCCCTTAACGATTTCCATGATAATTTGTAACAATATAACGTAAAACAAATTAATTTAATTTAACCAAAATGGCCATTTAGTTTTTTTAAGTTTGAATTACTGATCGATTTATAATTAAAAATTTACATATTATACTTTAGATTATTCCCAAAATGGTAAAAAGCAGGATTAATTTATATGAGTTACGTACTACAGTTAACGTACTAACAATTCGTTGATTCAAATAAGAAATAACTGTATAACGATAATAATGTATACTAAAAAAGTATCAAATTGCCTAATATTATGACATATCGGAGATTAACATTATAAACATTTGCCCAATGAAAAAAAAGCAAAAAGAAACCTTTTTAAGATATTTATCACATTTCACTAGTGCTGGTTCATGATGCAAACTGTTAATATTTAAAAGGAAATGTAAGATTAGAAATTATTTCTTTCATTCTTGCAATCTTAACAATAGATAAAAATGTTAAATGACTTATTTCGAAAGCGTGTAAACGATCTAGATTCGGTTATAAAATTTCAACGTTTTGTTATTATCATATTCGTAATATTACTATCCGCAATTTGTTTATTATTATGTATCAATTTGTCTACGGAACAGCCTAATGTTAGTACGCATTTCACCACGTCTGATAAATTGCCCTTACCAAGTAAGAATTGTTAAGTTAAAAATGGCTTTAAATCAAAAAATTATATATAATATTAAATCAATTTAAATCAATATAGATATCTATTTTGTGAATCCATATAATTTTACAATTTATTGTACTTTTGCTTTAAATTTACGTAAATATTTTAATTATTTTATCATTTATTTTACATCATGTATATAATATATCTGACTTAATTATTTTAGAAACTTCTGATTGTTCTAAATTTATCAATCAACCCCAATATGATGATACCCCGAACAACCCTGTTCCTTACATTGGAGCATTTGTATCAAATTATACCTTGACTTCTAAGGCAATTCCTGTGATTTCGCTTTACATCTTTATCACAGATCCTAGTTATAATTTATCCAATCAAACATCCGGATTAGCCATGCAAATGGAAGCTTTTGATGCAGGCAAGTTTTTATAAATCAATAGCATATCTTAATTACTTTAGATTGATAATAATACAAAATACAAATGTGATTTAGAATATGATCTATATAAAAAGTCCAAAAATTCACCAAATTTAAAACTAACCCATTTGAAGAAACAATTGCCTGGAAAAATGTATATTATTTATCGAAACCTAAAAATGATGGAATTGTATGTATACTTTAAAAATTTAAAGTGTAACAAGTATTTTGCAAATTTATTTATTTTAAAAAATTTGTAGACATATTTTTGGAAATTTAATAGAGTTATAAGGCAACCCATAAGTTCGTCATTCTTAGGTTATCTTGGTTATTTATGGTGTACCGAGTCCGGAAATCAACCTTATATTGAATCAGATATACGTAAGATTACTTGTATTAAATTCTTTTTAATTTTATACTATATTAAGGTTATTTATGTTATTTTAACTATAGAGATTGTTCCGTTGTCAGATACAATTTATCAAACTCATCCCGTAGGTGCATTTTATTAAAATCTCGCTTATTACTATTTGTATCATTTATTTTCACCGTTTAAATATACATGTTGATTAATGATATAGAGAATTTGAATGGAGCTTTTTATGCAGTGGTACAGTTTGTCCCAATGCCTACTATCGTTATAAGGAACGAAGTAGAACAAAGGTAAATAATCTTAAATGAATCCATTTTTTATATTATCGATACTTACGAACAATTTTACGAATAATAATCATAATAGGAGCAAATCTGTAAGTAATATACATATGTATTAACTTTAGCAAACAAAAAATAATTATTGTCATTTATATAAATAGATTTTTAGCTTACTGGGTGTTATTGGTGGAATTTGGAGTTCCATGGCAGCTTTTTATATATTTTTATTTGGTAAGTTGACCTTTAAAATTAAATCATTAGAATCAATTTACTAATCTATTACTATGGGTTTTCTTTTCTTTTGTTTTAATAAAAATTAGGATATGGCATAATCTATCCATGGGGTTTTGTACAAAGATCAAAGCCGTTTAGAGAAAAATATAATGAAAAATTCTCACCATTGACCGTAGATTTACAATCTGATGATCCTGATATTAAACTTGATAATTTAGAAAAAAGACTTAAATTCTATGAAAACATTGTCGATACTTCAATATTAACCTCTAATAAGACAGATGCATCTCCCACTAGCAATAGTATTTCTCCTTGATAATATAGTGTACTACAGGTATATAATTTGGCATATAGAACTGTATAATTTATTCTGTAGCAGCAACCATCATATGACGTATGAGCCATCTTAATTTATGTCAAAATTAATGCTCAGAGTTATTTTCTTTTTATTTACTTATTTAAAATATTATATGTATATTATATATAATATCTAATATCTCTACCTAATAGAAAATTACTTCGTTTCACCACTACAATAATTAAAATTGAAATTTTTATCAAAGCAAAAATTAATTTTTTTAATATTTAGGGTAAGGTTAAAAGTTTGAATTAGAATAAAAGTAGGTTTATACTCAG